GAAATTCTTCTTTTTTTCTTTTGCTGACGGCATTAATATCACGCTTGTAATGTAAAAAATGTGTATGGGCGCGGTCAAACACTGACAGACCTGAGCTATACGGTACTGCCTCTGCCGGGACACATCTTATAACCTTTTAAGTAACTCTTTTAAATAAATCCATGTGACGTATATCGTGAAGCTTCCTGAACATATTTTAATAACATTTCTTTGACTATTTTGTTTGAATACTTGAAATGACATCTAAAGCCGTCTACTTATCCGAAAAACTGTCAATGATTTTCTTGAAAACCAAACGTGATTGAATAATCCGAAAGTCCTTACTCTCTAAACTAACTGCGGCTACTTGCTCATATATATTTTCCTACTAAATGATTCTTTTTATAATTATTGAACTACTTTCGCCCAGTAAAATCGCGTTATATCTCAGGGAAGATAACTATTTTTTGCACGGCAGTTGGATTTGTTATTTCAGGCACTTAATTCTTTTTGACATTCACAATCTATGATACAACTGAACCATCAGAATAAACAGTTATACTGCAAAAGATGACCAGTAAAAGTGTGGTTTTTTTGACAAACATAGGGTAATTGACTGGTTAAAAGGATAGTTAGTTAGCTTGACAAATCGAGGCTAGATTGCAGACATATGGCATAAGAGAAAATTAACTGAATTCTAAAAGAGACGGTTGCTACATTTGCCTTCGAATACAACTAGAGATACGTTGATAATCTAAAAATGCGATTTAATAATTGCAACCCAAGTTGCCGCTAGAGTGACTTTGAATCGCAGAAAGCAATTTTATCTCGTCATAGAGTAAACATACGTTGAAGTACGAAAGGAAACCAACGTGGCCTCACGGACAGTAAGGTAAACCAATGTGTTTTATATTACCGATTCTAGGAGCAACAATTCAGAGATGGAGTACCACACGAGAGTGCTCGAGAGACACTGCTTTGCAATTTTGCCTGTGATTATACGGACCCCGTGAATCAATTTCAAATGGTAATGCTGCAGAGTTTCTTTCATCCGGGTTGCTTTAACGTCTACTGTGTCGGGCAGAGGCACCATTATTACGTACACCAAGAACAAAGGCCAACTGCCGTTAGTAGCACTGTCTCCGACAACATTCCAGGATGAACAGCACAATAAAAGTAAAAAATGTTCATAAAGAAGAAGGAAAACCTATTTCAGTAATCCTAATTCAAACCCCACCATTAGAAAAAGTGGACATAATTTATGCAGAAGAAACACAAAAAAAATTAAAAAAAAATACTTCGTCCAATTCCGAAGGAGAAGATGCGATCACTGGAACAAGGACTTTATTTTCCTGACTTTTCGGATTCCGTCGGGAATCCTTAGTCATAGGTAATCGTAAACAGATCTGAGACATGCGCAGATAAGGGGTCAATGGAGGAGAAAGAAAATAAACGAGAAACTTACAGAACAGGTGGCCGAATGAGCGCAGATGGAGCCCTTTCCATGATTTTTAGCTCCTCCTCTTGGCTAGGAATAAACATAAGTGCCAATTTATGTAATAAGCAGGATACATACAAACATAGTGACACTAAGTTCGTTGAGTTCAACACAATTGCGTATACGTTATTAAAACACCCTACTATTGTATTGTTAGTAGCGATCACAATATCTTTTAAATGCCCAATCTAGTGGCCTGACGTGAGTGGTAGCCGAGGCTGCCATTTTTGTGTGAAGTGAATGAAGTCTCTGGAGGGCTGGTTCCGCCGGCCAGGGTTGATCAAACGCGCTGATAGATTGGAAACATCTACAGTGTCTTTTTCTTCGAAGTCCACGGTCTTCAAAAATCGATCGTCAAGACTATAGACGGACTCCGTGAAGCATCAGGAAGTTACCATCTCAAGTGATGCACCAATATGCACTATTGTCCTGTACAATAATCTGGAATACATTAGGTTAAAAGATATCATCATGCCTCCGAAGTGATGAACCAGCGACAAATATTTCTGTAAAAAAATTGGCATGAGAATTGTTGCTAGAATTCAAGTACCAAAGACTGACATGTTTGAGCATTTTAAGAACCATGCTGGAAGTAGGAAGTGAACATTTCAAACGTTGCGGAATTAGAAAGAAACAGGTGGCCCTCGTCATACTTTGAAAAGTTTGTTGGTATTCAAGCGGATACCATGAATACGTATTTAGGCGGGACAGACATTAAGTGGTCTGTCACGACTGTGTAATATCATGTTATGCCACGCAGTTCTAACCCAGAGTTCACCCAAATAGTTGCAAGATGGGCGCAATCGACACTTATCACGTATTACTGAAAAAAATATATTTGGAGAGTAAAACTGCAGTTTCGGACTTATTCGTTGCCTCCTGCCGGCCACACTACCTCAAGCTCCGAGCCAGGCGGAGTGTGAGTTCACACTAGAGCTTTTGGATAAGTAAACAGCATTTGTGACATCGAATATTCAAAATTTCGGTTGCTAGGACGCATGAATGCGAAAAAACCATAGGGTAGTTGCCTCAATACGCAATGGTTAAAGGACTGGGGCATGGAACCCGAGTTCTCCTGAACCAGGAACGAGATATGGTTGGATGAGAGCAACAAACAAGCCCTTTAAGTTTGACTGGATAAAAATGCGCACTTAAAAAGAATCTGATCTAACACGAACCTTGACTCGGGGTAGAGGTCACCGACCTCACAAATGTCATCGAGGGCAACTTCCGTTGTCACGATGATTTTGTTCGTCATATCGAACATTGGAATATCCAGCATCAGGCTCCTGCAC